GATACCGATGTTTTTGGCTGTTGCTAAGTGATGTTTACCCTGAACAAGGACTTTGTGAGGCTCATGCTCTGCCAGGGAGGAGGGGAAGCCGTGAGGAAGCAGAGACAGGGTGCCTGACCCAGGTTAGCTAAGGAGGTATTCCATACCACAGCACGTCATGCCCGGGGTGGGGGGTAACTGGGAGTTACCTGGAAGGACACAGGCTTCCAGGTGGGACTCGTTTCTTGGCCGGTGGTATCGTATTCTCTTCCCTTGTTATTTTCCCTTATCATTGTTGTCGGTGGTGGTAGCGGTGGTGATTTGTGTTGTACATTGGTTGCTGGACTGTTCTTGTCTCAACCCGTAGGAGCTGCACTCTTTCGATCCTCCTCCCCGTTCCTCCGGGAGCGGGGAAGGGGAGAGTCCCGGTGGGGGGGGGGGGGGGGGGGGGGGGGGGCCTCGATTGTTGTCAGCCCGGCACCACTCACTGGGAGTGAGTGAACAAGTTGCCTGACTGGGTTTAAACCACGATGAGGGGTTACTTTAAGTCTCACAGAAATCAGTTTGCTGATTGTTTGATTCTTCACACCTTTGAAAGTGAAATGGAGAATTTGTTTTCTTTTGGTCTTGTTTTTTTTTCAATTGCTATGTTTTCACAGGAATTCTGCATATCGTTTTGCATCTGTTCCCACAAGCCTTTAATGAAAGTTCTCTGCAGAGTCTTTTAAGCAAACTGGTTCTTTTTAGAAGAAATGGAATAAAAATGATGCAATACCTCTTAACTAAGAAGAAACTGCTGACTGCCTGCACTCATACTGCATTACTTCACCTGCTATTAACCATGATAAAGGCATAGGCATCATCCACCTATCTAAACCTTTTGATCTGTTTTGCCAACCAACCTGTTCTTTTAAAGTGGAGCTTTATAGTGAACTTTCACTTTTTTCCATTCATTATTGCAGAGAAAGTATCCCAACCAGGGCAGCTTACAAACAGTGGATGGTGGATGAGTACATTTTAAAATGTTTTCTCTACTTGAAAGCTTTCCAAAGAGAGATTTCCAGCATTTTATTTGGAAATTACAAGTCTAAATAGAGCTTGAAAACTAGCTCTTCCCTGAAGTAAGCAAACAGCCCAGCATTCACAGAAGTTCTGTGAAAGACGGACAGGCACAACCAATTCTACATGCTGAGCTCAAGGTGAAAATCACAAGTGAGTTTATCTTAAGCCATTCCTCAGCCTGGGGGAGAAACACTAGTAACATGAAACATACTTGTAGTAGTGGCCTCTACTGAGAAAGACCATTAGTCTGTGGACCATTGCAGAGGTTTTCATGAAAGCTATTCCAGGTATTTACTTGCAAAAGCATGTCCTTCCCACACACACTCAGGATGTAGAAATGCTGATACAAAAGAGAAAGGTAATAAAATTGGTGCTCTGCCTTGCATCGGTAGACTACCACTTGATGCTTGGGTTTTTTTCTTTATCTCATCACTAAGCAGAGCATGAGTAATGTGCATGCTGGATTGTCATGGGCGCACTTGTCTTACAAAGTGTTACAGCTCATCTGGTGCCAACTTGGTATCTTGCCACAAGTACTAACAAGGCAGAGCTGGGTTGACTGATTTTTCTCTAGTCAAGATGTTGTAAGATTTCCTTGGAAGCCAAATGGAGAATTCACACTAGTCATAAGATCATCAATTAGCTTTTGTTCTACCTGAACACAGTAATATAAAAGCATGTTTCACAATCTGATGATTATCTTTCCGTACCTTATAGAATGGTGACAGAGAAACAGAGCTGAAAACCTTGTTTTCCATAAAACCTGGCAGTTGGTCTGAAAGATGTGCCAGTTTGTACCTGACACAGAACTCTCATCAGGAAAGACATTTTCTTTCATTTTGGCAATTTCACTTGTTTCCTAAGGTTAGGTCATGATTTTGAGGGTTTAGTTGCAAACAATTCATATACTGTTTCAGAGAAGATGTAGTGAGTGCAACTTCACAGAATCACAGAATCGTTAACGTTGATGATCTCTAGAGATCATCTGGTCCAATCGCACTGTCAAGGCAGGGCCACCTACGGCAGGTTACACAAGAACATGTTCAGGACATGTTTTGAATGTCTTCAGAGAGGGAGATTCCACAACTTCCCAACAGGGCAGCCTGTTCCTGGGCAAGTTTACCAGGTACCACATCTTGGAGATAATTTAAATAATATGGCCTGAATCAAATAGAAGGACATGTTCTTCCTCTGTCATTGACGACAAAGAAAACATCCTTAATTTTATACTGCATGGTCCCACTCATCTGTTTAATGAGTGGCTTAACCTGAAGGCTCATGTGTTGATATAATGGCAAATTACCTAGTGATACCTATGGTTCCAGATCAGGTTCCATATTTTATCGCCTTCTTGGAACATAGACAGTGTATATCAAGTGTCTGATCATCTAGGAGTTTGTACGTACCACTGATGGGATTCAAACTCTTTTCTGCTCTGGCTTTTCTAAATCCTTCAATTTCTTTAACTTCCTTTTTTTTTTTTTCCTAGGCAATTTGCTCTTAACAGGCTCAAGGACAAGATGTGGAACCAACTGACATTTTGGAAAACAGCAATCCTGCTGATGAACTAGAGAACATAACCCCCAAATTACAAGAAATCACTGAACTATCACAGTTGTTTTCCTGGATAATTCATCTGTCTAGCAGTGTTAAATGTTCTGAGAAATTTTCATTTATTAAACTAGAACATAATAGCAGCAAAGTTATAGACTGTGTCCATTACACAACAACTAGTATTTCCTGCCACACTGAAAGCTTTGACATCAGTGTGATTACATACTTACATCCTTTCCTCAGAAGACCTGTTTCATTCTGTGCAACTTACAGATGCTTATAAGAAGCAGTTGTTTAGCTGTGAACCTACACAGTATTGTTGTCATCCGGCTGGGCAGGTTGTACATACCTTATAGAAAATGAGGTTTCAGGATCGCTGATATGAATCTGTCCCCAAAACATAATTCGCTCCAATTTTGTAGATATGTCTACAACAGAAAGTGAGAAAGAGAACAAAAAGCCTTACTTCTGTAGGTCCTGAAATTAAGCGTCTTAGCAGGGAACACGCTAGTGTCCTGTTGTAACCATATAAATAAAATTGAGGAATTGAGACCTGAAAAAGGGGAAACATCTCAAGAACACCCCCAATTCCTCCTTTGCCCAGAACAGCAACAAGAACAAAGGCTGGTGGGAATGAAGCTGTACAAGATACAGACAGAAGCAGGACAGATTTGATCAGATTTAATACTCCTCTTTCAGTGAGATATAACAGATTTCTATAGTAAAACTAGTAATCCCATTTAAATGCTGTTGTCTACTTTAATAACTTCATTTGCCTGTTCAAATTATTGAAAGGCAGTTGCGACGTTTCTCAGTTCACAGAGAGTTGGTTTGATGGACAAACACCTTTCAGGACACAGGCTCACTCTTCAGTGTCAAGAGCAGTCAAAATAGCAAAAAAGCCTTGGGCTTACTCATTTCAGAGCCTGCTAACAAGAGCAGTTGTGGGTATCTGTGACTGGGCAGTCCACAACTGACTGTGCTAGCACCACACTGTGTATGCTGACTTTGAATGCAGTTGGAAAGTGGACATTCAGACTCTGAAGACAGAGGACAAAAGTCATTGCAACCTTCCTGGGACCAGGGCACCAGCACAGACAAGTGACATAGTGTTGATTTGGTACACTCAGGGCATTTGCATATGTATTGGAACTTGCCCTGGTCTCTTCACTGAATTCACCCAGCCCAGAAAAATTATTACACATGTCAAGTGAAAAAGTTGTGGAGTCTGGTGATATTGATTCGTTACACATCTACAGGAAATGAGGCTGGATAGTGCAAAGCTGGGAACAGCTGTTGGGAAATCCAGAGCACTGAGTTTATTCTCCTCTCACTACCTGTGACCCTAACCAGCAAGCAGAGAACAGTGTTGTGGCTTAAATGATGATACCTGATCTAGGCCTGAACTGAAAGGTAGATGCACATATTCACCTTCATTTGAGGTTCTGCCTAGTAGAAACTCTTATATGAAAAATAAGTGACAGAAATGAGTGAAAAATACGTAAATGAAGTGACAATGAGAGTGTCCTTCTTTTCTCACCTATTTGTCTCCATGGTGAAAAACAACGGCTGTTACCATGCTTTTCCTAGTCACATTACAGAAGTACAGGGTAAGGAAAATGAGGAAGATGTAGGCGGGTTTTTACACCCTATTACATAAGCAGTTCAGAAGAACTTAATGAAATCACATTGCCAAAGTGCACAAAAATACACCACCAAGCCAAATTCACACCTTCCATCCTTTTTGTTCACCATTACTGTAGCAGCCACAAGGAAACGGGTTTTCAAGGAGGAGGTAAGTTTGCTTTTGCGTTTGTCTGGTTTTCTTTTCTATGTTCCTTTCTGGATTTTGTTCAGTTTTTATTTGTTATTCTTTATTTTTATTTTACTCCAAAGAAGCTAGGCAAAGGAACACTGTATTTTGTTATTCCTACTAGTATTAATGCTGTAAAAGAAATGTGAGGGGTAGATAGATACTACCTCCAAATACAAGTTTTGTCTGCTGAATCTCTTAGCCAAAATTTTGATAATATGTTTTTTCTATGGTCTGAAAATAATTATATAAAAATATTCTAAAATTAAAAGTTTCCAGTATTATTGGCCTATCCACATAGCAGTATTTTGCTTCTTAAGACCTGCATTACAACACTGAAGAGTGCCTATGTCACTTTGTCTTGAAAAGCCAGTCAAACTGGAAATGTTCAAATTTTTAGCTATCTAAGTCCATAAAGGAAAATCATTGTGCAGAGTGAATCTCTTCTGTACTGCATTTAGACACCAGTAGACTAGAAGTGTGTCAGTGTCCTTTCTCTTATTACAATTTTAAAACAAAGTGCAAGGTTTTGGGATTTTTTCAATTACATACCTTCCTTTTCATTGATTATAAAAATCATAGCAGTACTGAGACATGGTAAGCTACATGGTTGTATGTTACTTATAATCAGCAGGTTAGTGGACAGTTTTTATTCTCACCTAATGAGCTCTCTAATCAACCTGGATGAGAATAAGCACTACAACAGGATTTCGACCTCATTGCTATTTCCAAACTCCTAACATGACAGTCTCCTGTGGACATGCGTCAGGATTCAGAATTCTCTAAGAGGTAACTGAGTGGCCTGTGCTTTTGCACAGCGTCTAGCAGAAGCTAATTTTCATAGAGAGTTTAAAAACCACAGTGCAGAAGGAAAACAACTTCACACAGAAATACTTTAAGTTTTCTTAAGATTTTGATCAATAATCTGCACAGGAATTATTTGATGCTTGTGAGGATACTGAAATGCTTGCACTATGTATTTTATTATCATTGTCAAACAACATAAGAGACAGTTCAGGAGGAAGAGTACACTACAGAGAAACTAAACTGTTTGCATCACTACTTACAGAAAAGGATCATGAGAGTATGGCCTTACCTCTTTTTTAAGTAAATAATGATAAAGTGACAAATACGGAGTTATTAAAAGAGGAGTGGTTAAGCAAGAAGCCATGAGAACAATTTAGCTAGTCCTCAAGTATAAACTAGAAAGAGAAAAACGTCAGTGTCTCCTTGAAAGACCTTAGATAAACAAAGGATACAATAGTGACTGTCTTTGTTATTAGCTTTCACTGCGTCATGGTGCCTGACTTGATTAGAGTTGATTAAATCGTAGTTACGTCTTCAGCATCTCTAACAATGGCAGATAATCCTCATGGTTCAACACAAATAAAATCACAGTAAGCAGGTAACTGCAAGACCCAGACAATATGCAGTTGGGTTTACTAATCAGGTAGCTAAAAAACTACTAAATGAGTTTGCAGATATCTGCATGATTTGTGCATTTATACAGTCTTTCTGCAGAGTGAACATGGGATATTCTGATTGTTCACAGGCATGAATGGGACAGCAATTGAAAATTTTGTCTGTGTCATTTTTAATGTTTCCTTCATGAATTGCACTTGGCATGTGGGCAGGAATGTTTCAGGAGATACCCAATATTTTCTGCACTGGAAAACCTCAAGGTAAGTCGGTCTGCTTGAATCTAGGGAATTTTGGTTTCTCTCTGACAAGTGACATTGTCAATATTTAACTAATGCAATATGTCATGTAAAGGAAAGAAGACTTCACAGAATGCCAGAATTACATCAAAGATAATTATGGAAGGCACACAGGATGTAGATTCCAAAACGTGACAATAGAAAATAAGGCAGCTTATTTCCTGGTAAACGGTTCTAGAAATGCACAAAACATTCAGTCATATAAGAAGGTGATTTTCCTGTACAAAATTGGTAAGGACTTTTTATTTTCATTATTTTATTTCTAATTTTATGCTAAGGGAATGAAGAATTAATCCCTGGGGGAAAAAAAAAAAATACATTTTTTAAATACTGCTTTTCAGAACATGGGTTAGGGATTTTTTTTCTTTTCTCCAGCCTCGATAGCTGAAAAGTCAAAAGTGTAAGAATGAACAAAAATAAATGAATGCAGAGACAATCTGAAATCATAAGTCTGGGAACTGTGAACATTTCAGTCAAATATTTATTCTCTGACAGAAAGGTGTCATGTTGCAGAATAACTAGCTAAGGATGGTTGAGTGGGACTACCTAGATCTCATAGTTCTGTTCATCCACAAAATATAAAAGAATCAATTACCTTAATATTGTGAGCAAAAACTTTCATTTTTTAAATGGAAGAATTTTGCTAATACGAAAAAAATTAAAAAAAAACCCTCCGCTTAATATGAACACAGTCTATAAAAAACCCTGCACAGATTATATGTTGAATTCAGTAAAATCTAAGCAATTGCTTGTATTTTTTAATTTTATATACTGTTGTTGCTGATACTCGGGGTTCCTCATCTAGAGTGTTAAATCAGAAAGTTCTGTTTCAGAATATGGGGTGAATATAAAAACTCTGGTAAAGCTGCATTAAAAATTTTTAATCCAGTTGCTTGAACATCTACCTATATTTTTAAAAGGCAGAGTGAAGAAAGTGATTATTAATCATTAGTATTTCTGATTCTATTATTGTAGAAAAACTCACCCCTCCATCAAATGTCACTGTGAACTGTACAGAAGCTTCTCATGGTTGTGAAATTCAGTGGCAACCACCTCGCACAAGTCATGTGAAAAGACGTGATTGTTTCAAATATGAAATTGTCATAGAAAGTAAGGTAAGAATAATAATGATTCTTAATAGTATTTTGTATGCTTTTATTTCCACACATACCACCACACAACCAATACCCAGTTCTTTTTCCCTATTTGACTAATCTCTCCTTTTTGATGTGTAGTGTCCCTCTTGCACACGAGCTGAGGACTGCTGCCCCTCACAGACAGCAGCAGCAAATTAAGGGAATACTTCCAATCCACTGTACAGCTGGTCAAAAATAAATACATTTTTCTCTTGTTTCTAGGCTGATCCTGAGAAAAACATCAGAAACACATCTAGAACAGTAAGTCTTTATTACGGTATAAATCTATTGTTTATGCTGGGTTGAAATTTTATCTCTATCAGAGCATCCTCCAACCAAATTGTTTTGGTTTCTCACTGCCAGTTTCAGTGTACTCTGTATGCTGGTTTTTGACAAGTTTCCTAAATTCAAAGTTTTAAAATGTTTTTTTTCTAAAGCATAGTACAAAAAACACCTGCATATGTGTAACTTCATGATACTTCTATGCAAGTCACAAAACCTTCCATTTTACAATCTTTTGTAATTCCTACTCAATTATATATATGCAGAAATATGATCCGTAATTCCACATTACACTCAAGACACAAAAAATGTGGAGAACTTTGTTCTTTATTAATAATGTCTGGAAGGGGTTGAGATGGAGGAGGCAAGAAAATACCCCCTGAAAGATTAAGCCAGTGTAAAGAAAAAAGACAAAAAATATATAACCAAGGTTTCAAGAAGGCTCAATATTCTTCTGAGAAGGATTTCAACATATGTAGCGATTTTCACTTTTGTATAATCTGGCCATCAAACTCTATCTCAGTTTTGAAAACATCCACAGTAAGGGAATGCCAGACCTTTAAAGAGCTACCTTATAGTAAAATAAGCCCATTACAGACTAAAAACAAACTATTGTTTTGTTTTTTTTTTCCCCAAATCCCTTTTGTTTATCGAAGACTAAGGAGTCAGAGAAGCATACTTCATATTTCATCTTCATATCACCACCAACAAAATGTTCAAACAAAAGGAATTAGGATGAAACAAGCTAATTTACTAAGTGTTTGGGTTTTGTTATTTCACTCTAATCTGCCCACAGGAATACACGCAAAATTTTCCTTTGTAATTTTTTGCATCATTGAATGAACCTGACATATTCTTAACATCTGTACATCTAGTTAATAAAAAGTTCTCAGTCTAGTTGTTTTGCATTTAGGAAAGCAGCATCACAGGAAACTCCTACATATTTGGGAGCTTCAGCACAAGAAAAAGGTACAGTGTCAAAATCAGAGCAACTGACAATGGTTGTTTAGTGAGCACCAGCTGGGGAGAGTGGAGTACACCTGTAGAGTTTGGTAAGAATAAAAATCACTACCCTGCCTTAGTTTTCCCTCAGTTATTATTTGTCTGCCTCATTTATTACTTCATACTTAGAGATGAAAACACATTGATATTTGCACTTTAATATACTACAATAAAAAGAATTTGCCTATCTCAGTATGAATGAGTTCTCCAAGCATTCCGGTGTGACAGTGGGTGCTTCTTGCAAGGAGATAGTGATTGAAGCAAAACTCTTTGAGATCTGTTGTCAGCTTTTTTCTTTCTACCATTTATACCTCTGGCTTTATAAACTTCTGTTTTCCCCGTTAATGCTCTGCCATCCTGGATTTTGAAGGACTCTGTAGGCCTCAGTTCCTCACAAAATGCTTAGTAACATCTCAAATCGCCACAGACCACATACTCTCAGCCCCATTCTTTCACATGTTATGGGGCAAGGAGGTGCTAAGCTAAATAAGTGACTTCATCCTGATGCTTGATGCTATAACGCAAAGCAGATTGCACATAGATGTGAAATCATTCCTCTTCTGTGATACTAATGAACACTTTGATGACTTCTTGTCTTTCAGGAACAAGCCAACTTACATCTGCTTCATCATATATGTTATCTCTGATATCAGTGCTGCCAGTAGGCCTTGTACTTTTTCTCTGCTCAGTGTAAGCTTTATTCCTTGTCCAAAGATTTTATTCTGTAGCTGAAATAACACCACTTTCCCCCCAAAAAAAAATTTATGGCCTCTTTCTAAATGAGAGGAGGGAGGGGGAAAATCAACACAGAACTATAGCAGGAATCTTGACCCTCAAATTGGTTCTGTATTTCTGGTTCCTAACCTTCTTACCCACTTGATCTGTATAACACAAAACTTTCTGATACTGGGACAAGGCCTTATATCATTGCTGCTTTCCTGCCATTAGACCCTGTAATGTTTTTTGCTTTGAGGATATTTCATATTCAGATACTTAAAAAAGCAATTTCCAATCATTCTCTAGTAAGTAATAAAATAAATTATTATAATTCAAATTCTGAACAATGAAATGACACCATTGTGTTCAGCCTATGTAATTTTGTAGTTACTTTTTCACTACTTTTGTCCTTGAGGAGTAAAATAATACCTCAGGAACACTATTATATGGTTACACTAACATTTTTTCTGCACCAACCCTTTTTTGTCACTGTAGAAGATCTTATTTGAAAAAAGCATCTGCTATAATACCACGGCCAAGAGACCCATTCTATGAGCTCTGCCCAATAGATTTCAAGGTATGTCTTCTTTCCATTTGACTGAAATTTGTTGTAATTAAGGATCCACCGTAGTCTCAAAGGTATGACCTAAGTGCCAGGAAGGTGCACAGAAGTAAGGATAATTTTTTTTTTGTTCTTGAGACATTGAAAGAGAAGGTCAATATTCTTCTATTCTCCCTTTTCCATTCTGAAACTGTGGTCATTCATCTGCCTGAAGCATTGGAGAAATTACATTTTCACCCTGTTCTCCCTATAAGCCACATGCTATCACTAGAATAGTGCTGAGCATAAACTTCTCAACACATTAATAATACAGACTGTTGGCCAGCTGTGAGGAGAAAAGGGACAAAGAAATCTCCTGCTGGACAAAAAGAGTTGTGCCGTAGTAGATATTGACATCCATGTTGGTATTTGGCAACGATGCTGAAAGAGGAAAGGTTCTTAGGGTATGGTAAGCAATAAAGTATAACAGAGAGCTGAGAGGTTCTAGTTTATGCAGAGATGGAGAGACTTGTAAGCAGCAGCAACTGACAGGCATAGCAAGAGCTACCCATCCAGATATGGAACTGCCCATCTAGAGAGCATGCTGCAGTTTCATCCAATTTGCAATATGCAGTCTTTTAGTTGGCTACAGCCAGGTCTGGAAGCAAGAATGTATCTGCAAGGACACTGGATCACTGGTGGGCCTGTATGCAACTTTTTATTTTCTGTTCCTTCATCATGTTAACATTTCTATGTTGCAAAATATGAGTTTTCTGGCTTTTGACTTGAAAAGTCTTTTGTTCCACTCTAGGGAGCTCATCTTGGAAGGAAGACCTAGACATGTCTACTTCCTCCCATTGATGGAGTCCCATTGTAGCTTCTATTTAACAAATTACAAATCCCTGAATGACAGGAAACTTAGAAATTGTAATCTCATGGCTAATCTTGTGCATGAAACACTAACAAAATTTTTTCTTCTTCTTTTAATAGACAGAATATAAGAATCAGTCAATAATGCATGAAACTGAAGAAACAATAGTAATTATTGAAGAAGTGACATAAAGGCATGCAAGAGAAAGAAGCAACCTGAATTCTTTCAAACATGTATACCTTTTTGATAAAACACAGCACTGAACCAGCTACTTGAAGTACATTAACTCTATCTACCCCAGCTTCAACAAGGACAGCAGCAATTTATAGGTTTCTCATATTTTTTCCCTCTTGCAAACAGAGAGAATGACGTTTCTTGTAGATGTAATTCCCCAAGAACTTATCTTTAAAAGCCTCTCTCTATTTGACTGTATTTTCCATTAATAATTTTGGTTGTTTGGACTATTTTTGGTTTTTTCTTCTGTCCATGTTTCTGATGGGGTAGAGTTAATTTTCTCCCTAGTAGCTGGTGAAGTGTTGTGGTTTGGCTTTAGTCTGACAACAATGCTGATAACACACTGATGTTTTGGTTGTTGATCATTAGCACTTACCCTGATCAAGGACTTTTCAATCTCTCATGCTCGCCAGTGGGAAGGGGCAAGGGAAGCCAGGAGGAAGCAGAAACAGGACACCTGATCCAAACTAGCCAAAGGGGTATTCCATACCACAGCACATCATGCCCATTATATAAACTGGGGGGAGCCACCCAGAAGGCCCAGATAGCTGCTCGGGTTGGGCTGGGTATTGGTCAGCCACTGGTGAGCAATTGTATTGTGCGTCACTTCTGTTTATTGGGCTTTTTTCCTTTCCCCTTTTAGTTTTATATTCTCTCCCCTCGTTATTTCCCTTATCATTATTATCACTATTAGTAGTAGTACATTGTACTTTGGTGATTAAACTGTTCTTATCTCAACCCATGGGGTTTACATTACTTCAATTCTCCTTTAGAGAGGGAAAAGTGGGGGGGTGAGTGAGCAGCTGTGTAATATTTAGTTACTCACTGGGTTTAAACCATGATAGCATTTTTTGGCGCCCAACATGGGGCTGGAACAGTTGAGATAAAAACAGATCTTTTATTTGCTCTCAGAACTGGTCAAGCTTGGTCTCAGATTTGCATTATCTAATACCTTACTTTCAGTATGCTTTCCCTCCAGTGATATTTATCATCCATGGGACCTGGACTAAGGCTCTCACTTTGGTGTGCTTTATAGTAATGGCTTGTGATACGATAGAATTGCTGGTTGTGAAACCGATCTGGTATGTGTATTAAGCATTGCCATCACCTCTATATTTTTGGAGCCATCTAATTGAAACTATTAATAATTATACCTTTTGCCTTTTCTCCTTGGAGGGCCAACCTGTGGAGGAGACCTCCTCCCATATCTTCCCCTTTGCCACCAGGCATTTGAAAATTTTAAAGCTTTTTAATATCCTTTGGATACCACTGAAACACCACATAGATGCTCGTGTACCCAAGAGTTGGGCCACTGAGGAACACCAGAACAACCAACAGGTGGATCAAGCGGCTAAGATTGAAGTGGCTTAGATGAACTTAGATTGGCAACATAAAGGTGAATTATTTTTAGCCTGATAGGCCCATGACACTTCAGGCCAACAGAGCAGAGATGCAACATATAGATGGGCCCGTGATCGAGGGGTGGACTTAACAATGGACACTATTGCCCAGGTTATTCATGAGTGTGAAACATGTGCTGCAATTAAACAAGCCAAGCGGTTAAAGCCTCTTTGGTATGGAGGACGATGGCTGAAGTACAAATAGGGGGAGGCCTGGCAGATTGATTATATCACACTCCCATCAACCCACCAAGGCAAGTGCCATGTGCTTACCATGGTGGAAGCAACCACCGGGTGGCTGGAAACATACGCTGTGCCCCATGCCACTACCCGGAACACTATCCTGGGCCTTGAGAAACAGATTTTGTGGCGACACGGCACCCCAGAGAGAATTGAGTCAGACAATGGGACTCATTTCCGGAATAACCTTATAGATATTTGGGCCAAAGAGCATGGCATTGAGTGGGTATATCACATCCCCTACCATGCACCAGCCTCTGGGAAAATCGAACGGTACAATGGGCTGTTAAAAACTACACTGAGAGCAATGGGTGGGGGAACTTTCAAACATTGGGATACACACTTACCAAAGGCCACTTGGTTGGTCAACACCACCAGAGGATCTGCCAACAGGGCTGGCCCACCACAGTCACAACTTTTACATACTGTAGAGAGAGATAAAGTTCCTGTGGTGCACATAAAGAATTTGCTGTGGAAAACACTCTGTGCGATTTCTTCTTCAGCAAAGACAAAATCACTCATAGGATTGCTTTTGCTCAGGGACCTGGATACACCTGGAGGGAGGATGTGGGAAGTCCAGTTTGTATCTCAAGGAGATTTGATTCTGGGTGAAAATGGCCAGCCAATTGAACTGTATGATGACGTATAACATTTGATATTATCACTTCCATGGCCGCTATACACCCATCACTGTGCTGAGCACCTCGTGGCACCCATCTCCATCGTTCCAGATTTGCGAATCTGAACCTGACACCCTTTTGATCACCACATTAACAAAGAATGAACTTTGACAAAACTGGGGAAGGGCAGCTGTAATGGAATGGGAGTGAGCTTCAGCATGAAACAACCCAACACCACACATCATTCATCTTGTCTGTCCAGAGAGACTGTTACAACAGATGGAGCCCCAAGTCATGGTCTGAATGAACTCAGCAAACATTTGTAGAGATGGTCCGTAGACTAGGGAAATGATATCTGTGTGTATATATATTTATATCTATCAAAAGACAGGAAAAGTGATGGTGGGAAGTGTCATACCTGTCATGATGTGAATGATATGGAATAAGGTATGGATGCTGTCCAGGTTTCGTTAGTATAGAGTCAATTTTCTCCCTAGTAGCTGGTGCAGTGCTGTGTTTTGGCTTTAGTCTGAGAACAATGATGATAATGCACTGATGTTTTAGTTGTTGCTAAGTAATGCTTACCCTGATCAAGGACTTTTCAGTCTCTCATGCTCTGTCAAAAAGGAGGGGCTCAAGAAGCCAGGATGGAGCAGAGACAAGACACTTGACCCAAACTAGCCAAAGGGATATTCCATACCACAGCACATCATGCCCAGTATATAAACTGGGGGTAGTCACCCAGAAGGGCAGATCACTGTTAGTCTGGCTATTGATTGGCAGGTGATGAGCAATTGTATTGTGCATCACTTGTGTTCATTGGTTTTTTTTTCCTTTCCTCTCTTAGTTTTATATACTCTCCTCTTGTTATTTCCCTTAACATTCTTATTATTAGTAATAGTAGTAGTAGTAATATATTGTACTTTAGTTATTAAATTGGTCTTATCTCAACCCATGGGGTTTACATTCTTTCAATTATCTGATACCTGTCAGCAATCACATTTTAAGCTATTTTTTCATCTACCACAGATATGAAGTGATGAAAAGTAGGAGGAAATTTTTGGTTTTGTAAATGGCTGTGAGCAACATTTAGAGCATGTTGTGCTGAAGGATGTAGCAACATAATTTGAAGGCAACAAATAGATTTATGAGAAAATTGTCTCCAGAACACTTGTCTCCTGAACAATACTTGTATGAGAAAATGGTCATAGAATCATAGAATGGTTTGGGTTTGAAGAAACCTTAAAGATCATCTAGTTCCAGCCCCATGTCATAGGCAAGGACACCTTCCACTAGACCGGGTTGCCCAAAGCCCCATCCAACCTGGCCTTGAGCACTGCCAGGGATGGGGTGGCCACAACTCCTCTGAGCAACCTGTGCCAGTGCCTCACCACCCTCACACTAAAAAATTTCTTCCTAATATCAAATCTAAATCTCCCTTCTCTCAGTTTAAAGCCATTCCCCCTTGCCCTGTCACTACGTGCTCTTGTAAAAAGTCTCTATCCAGATTTCTTGTAAGCCTCCTTTAAGTATTCGAAGACTTTTATAAGGTCTCCCCTGAAACTTCTGAAGGCTGAACAAGACCAACTCTCTCAGCTTGTCTTCACAGAAGAGGTGCTCCAGCAGCTGACCACAACACTTTGAGTGGGAACATCCAGCTAATTCCTTATCTACCAAGTGGTCCATTGTCTTTCCAGTATAGAAGCACGGATGCCATGTGGGACAGTGTTAAATGCCTTTCACGACTCCAGGTAGATGATGTCAATTGCTCTTCCCTTGTCTACCAGTGCTGTAACCCTGTTATAGAAAGCCAGCAAATTTGTCAGTCATGATTTGCCCTTAGTGAAGCCATTTGGCTGACACCAATCACCTCCTGGGAGTAGGAATGCGATTAAGGTATCCTTTTCCTATCTGAGGGCAAAGACCCAATATAACACTCAATGGGAAAGGATGGTAACAGACTTTGGTAGCACCATTAATAGCACCAGCTTTGCTTCAGAATTTATTTTTTTTTATTTGTTTCTATTTTTTGAAAGCCTCAGCAAAGAAATCCCCTGTGTAGGACAGTTCCCACGTCTGTGTGGTAACACCACTGTCTTTGTGGGCTGTTTGGATTGTTCTGTTGCAATATATTTCAGTTTAAAAACAAAAAGTACCCAAACCCTAAAACCACAAAACCCAGACTTCCTTATTGTGTTACTAAGGTACATAACCTGTGAGAGCACCAGATTGAGAGATGCTCTTCTGCTGCCTGCTCTACAGGCTCAGAAGATCTTCAGAGTGGGAACATGGGGCTTTGCCTTGGGTGCACAAGAAGCCACACAGTTGAGGTATCAGCTGGAGAAAGAGAACCCAGCACTGGACAGATGTGCTTGTCCCTGTCCACCCATTGCAAGACGCATAATTCAAAAGACTCATATACTGGAAGTTCATAGCACTTCCCAGGACCAGACTTAGGCACAGAAGAAACATACTGTTGCCCAGGGCAGGAAACGTCCCACAGCATCAGTGCTAAATGGTGTGATGAAAGGGTGTCCAAGATACAGACACTGCCAAGCAATCCAGCTACAGTCATCAGCCAACTGTGGCCCAACTGCTTCTGCCAAGAAATCTCCATAGGAGTGTAGAGTTACAGCTCTCTCAGAAACACCTACCCTTAAAACCATTCCTAAAGTGGTGCAGGATCAGTAAATACAACTTCAGTGTGATTGTTCCTAGCCTTTCTTCTTCCCAGCACAATGTCTGTGTCTGCATGGCTCACTGCAACTCCCTCCCCTCTCTGCTCCTGCAGTGTAAGTGAGCAGAGCTCCTTGTTTGGATGTGTCATGGATGGAATAGGTGGGAGACTGCTTATCACTCTGGGAACTGACCTATTGGAGAACGGAGACCCAGGGTGATGAAAGGAGAGAAGACGACTTAAACTCTGTTTCCTTTGTTTTCCAGAACCCCATTTGATTCTCTGTGACATTTCCCAGTGCTCCCAGCTGCCCTGATGCTGGCTGGGGAGATGGGACAGACCCTGGCTACCAGCTCTCACCCACCATGGGGAGCCCCCACTGCTCCCAGGCCCCAGAGATGGTTTGTACTGAGAGATGCTTTGTACTACTCAGTATTATTTACAGCTAGAGAGAAATACCTGCAAAAGAAAAGGTTTCTTTGTACTCATTGGATTCCTAAGAACAAAGTGGTTCTGTACAACAGAAAGGAAGATTTAACCAGCTAATCGCTTGTTCACATTATATGAAATCATGAGTTGTGCAATTACAGGAATTTGGTAAGAATCAGGAGGGAAGTGATGAATGTCATATCTTGCAACACTTCCGACAGTACGACAGTTCCCCAAAACGCAAGCAGTAAGGGAAACAGCCCTATTTATAGCCATGCAATCATTTAAAATACCAGTCTTTTTATCTTCTCTGATCTGGAAGAGTATGATACAAAGATAAACAAGATAAAGATGCTTTGAAATAGAAGGTAGGTCTATCTTCATCTTTCCATCTATTTTGTTTGCTGAGGTATTCAATGAGACTCTAAGAAGTCCGGTGCTGGAGGGGTGATGTCCCTTTGTCAGAGGAATACATGGAGCTAAGTTGAATGAAGGTTTTTTTGCAAATAAAGTACTGTCTGCTAAGAAATGTCCTAGCCACACTTTTCATTTAATTACTGTGATTGATACTGAATTGTAGGAACTAGATATCAATGCTAGATCCACTTTAATGTATATATGCAAAAATATCCTTGAAAGTACAGGAACTTTCATCAAACTTAGCATACTCACTGTTGGGTAACTTGAGCTGATTGATATCGCTGTGATCCATTTTGGTATTTTCTGTTTGCAGCTGTTTACCCATCTGCTTGATGTCTATTCATCCTAACTTTTCTATATGGCAGATAGATAAATTAGACCTTAAGAGAGCAGTCA